ACAAGAAATGCTTGACTCAGGGCCTTTAAGGTTCTGAAAGAAATGACAGGCCCTCTTCTGTGTTGATGATATGTATGACATGCTTGTAACTCAAATCATTGTAAATGAATGGAAATGCCATTAATTTGTTCTAGTCTACCCGGCAAGAAACAGCAAAATTTCAGTTATGCCTTTTTTTTTAAATGAGGAAAGTCAAACTCTACCATATAATACTTTATACAAACTTACAGTAAATTTGTACTTTATAAAAATTTATAGTAATAACAAATAATAGAAATAACCACATTTTTGGCGCATCATGACTAATTCACTGCATCCGTTCTCGTGCGTGCAATTCAGCCATTGGGTGCAGTTTAATAGCCAGGCAGTCAAAAATAAATTGAGGTTGTTGCAGTCATTCTTCACAGGGATAGATACTATTTTGTGACTATTGTTATATTGTCTGTCTCCATGTGTTTGGTGCACAGTTTGTGTTTAAATATCCATTGCTCAGAGGGGAAGATAAAAATGTTCTTTGCATTAATATGTTCTATGTGGCTCCACCAGTCCAAACACGTTTTTCTGTTTTATATGGTGTTGTTGGAATATGTTTCTGCAACAAAATCCACATGTTTTTATCCATCTCTGGCAGCGGCCATTTTGCCACTTGCGATCTGAAACCGACATCAGTTGCCCAGGGCTCAGGTAATGACCAATGACAGCTCACCTTGTCACATGACCAATCTCAGAAAATAATCCAACCCTCAGAAAACGACTAACCTTATTGAACACAAGGTGCAATAGAAAGTGGATGGATTGATGTGGTCTTGCTACACCAGAGGCTGCACTCATCAAGAACCAAGTATTACCTTTTTTGGATTTTTTTTTTAACTCATTGGAAGACTCATATTCCATACAAATCGATTTGTTTTGCTGACAAAAATGAGAGAACTTCCATCCATCCATCCATTTTCCGATCCACTTATCCTCACAAGGGTTGCGGGGAACCTATCCCAGCTGTCTTCGGGCAGTAGGCAGGGGACACCCTGAACTGGTTGCCACCCAATCGCAGGCACACACAGACAAACAACCATCCACGTTCATACTCAGACCTAGGGACAATTTAGCGTGTTCAATCAGCCTGCCAAGCATGTTTTTGGAATGTGGGAAGAAACCGCAGTACCCAGAGAAAACCCACACAGGCCCGGGGAGAACATACAAACTCCACACAGGGAGGCCATAGCTGGGATTGAACCCGGTACCTCTGCACTGTGAGGTCGACGCACTAACAACTGTCCCCCCCTTACCGCATGAGAGAACTTGTCATGTAATAACATCTACAAAGAGCGTTTTCCATCTGGGTTAACAGTCAGCACATTTACATGCACACCGACTCCTCCAATTGACACCCGGGCCTCTCTGTAGTTGACATGCATGTTATTTGCTGACATTTTAGCAAGATCTTGAATACTACTTACGGTGCTTACATTACCTGTTCCCACGCCACATTCTCATGCTTGTGGTGTCACGTATCATTCCCACAGGACTCATACACACAAGTTCACACAAATGCACACAGCCCCGGCTCATATGAGCCACTGGAATAGAGCCCCGTGTGTTTGTGTGTGTGTGTGAGACTGTCATCTGCATGACAGTCTGCAGACACAAAAGCTTTTTGTATGCCAGAGTGAAAAACCAAAGCAATTAAACATTAAACGCAAAATGGGCGTTGCCTCAAATGGCCCTTTGAAGAGCAAATTATGCTGGAAAGCCACATCAGTCGGTAAACTATAGACTAGGGATCAGCAAAATAGTGCCGGCGGTCACGGGGTTGCCCTGTGGACCACATTAGTAGCCTGGGGGGCCTGTTCTAAAAATAACTCACCAGTGTTGGGACATTGTGATTGTCTCGGAATGTTGATGAACTTCTAAACTGTGAGGTTCACCACTTGTCCAGTATTTGTGCAACCATCCGGAGAATCGCTGATCTTCACCACAAAAAAACAAAGAACAAAAAAAAAAAAAAAAACATGTATATATGGGAGACTGATTAGCACGTCACAGTGCAGAGGTTGTGGTTTTCGAATCCAGCCATCCTGTGTGGAGTTTGCATGCTCTCCCCATGCCTGTGTGGGTTCCCCGTGTGGTACTCCTGTTTCCTCCCAAAAACACACTTGGCAGGTTAATGGGAGTTTAAATTGTCCCCAGCTGTGATTGTGAGCGCAAATGGTTGTTCGTCTATGTGAGCTCTGCGATTGGCTGGCAATCAGTTCAGGGTATACCCGACCTGTTGCCTGAAGAAGAGCTCGGATAGGCTCCAGCCCGCCCACGACCCTTGTGAGGAGAAGCGGATCAGCTGATTGATATTATGAAAACCTGAGAAACAAAATTCAAAGTACTTCTATTTCTGATTCAAGAATTTTGGAAAAATGTGTTGAGCAGAACTATTATTACTACAACTAGGAGTCTTAGTATCTCATCTTTATATTTTCTTCTGCAGTGTTGTGTAATCCAAAGTTACAAAGTTTACATCACGTTTGGAGGTCTGCTGCCAAACAGTTTTTGTGGTGGAAAGCCGGATCGGAGCTGGGAATTTTGCCAAGTCAACAGTGAAGGGACCAAAATATATCCTCCTTCTCACATTTATCTTGTCACAAGGCCTTTCGTACCTTGAGTTTTACATACGTGATGAAATGTGTTTTGGTTTTTGTTTTTTTTTTCTTTTGCTTGTCATAATGTATACTCAGGTGAGCAGAGATGTTTTTAATTTTAGAGCAGCATGCTGTCAGTAAATAAATCAGTCTTGCTGAATTGCTTTGACCCACTTTACTCTGCTATGGGCTGCTGCCATCATCTGTGATCAGCAATGCAAAGCACACACGCACACAAATATACACACAGCAGCTGAGCTACTGTACAAAGTTGTTGTCAGCATTTTTCCATCAAAATAGTCAGGCAGGCCTGTTGTTTATGTTGGCTTCCTGTAAAAGATAATTGTGCCTTTTAAATGATTTCGGGGGACTATTTTGAGGCACGTCTGTGTCAACATGGAGAGCTTGTTTTCCAGCAGCCATCAAAACATTTTCAATTGGTCTCGTGTGCATTGAGGAAAATAAGTTTACTAAATGATGATCCATTTAGGGTGTTTGCAGAACTGTGTGTCCAAAAACACACAAAATGAAAACATTCATGAACATCAAGCATTTGTGTATTTATCAAGTTTATTCACACAAGCAAATAACTCAAGTCAGGACTGAAGCATTGAAATCCAAAACTTTTTGGTATACTTATTTGGGTAATATTGTAGTCAGAGTGCATAATGAATGGCTTTTTGAAAAGGTTACAGCCAGTGACTTATTAGAAGACCCAGCAGCCACATAGGGACTTTAAATATTGAAAAGATCACATAAATGACAGTAACTTTACATATATTTTGGTTACCAATAATTGTATTTTATAGATCCCAGAGAGGCAGTGGTTATTTTATCAGATTATTTATGAAACCTTACAACTAGCAGCGTAACGAAAACAGACTTGAATCGAAAAATAGGTTTGGATTTAATTGAACTGAATCGTGACACGAATGAATGGCTCGGGTCTCAATATAGCTTTGAACCAGCCAATGACTCCATCAAAACGTTATACAGTACATCGGTTTGATGTTGCTCGTGATTTGTTGTTTCTTTGAATTTCTTTACTTGAATAGTTTGGGATTTAGAGGGCTTGGAATCCAATCATAATCCCAAATCGAATCGCTCCGTTTAGAAATTGTACCTCTCTCTCGAGATGCGTATCGAATCATCTTTAATTGGGGAGCTGCACACCCCTACTTAGGATACTTATAAAGCTTTGAAAAAAAAAAACACCAAAGGAAAATAAGAGAAAAGAAAAATCTGTTGAACCTAATGTTACCCGAAAGGGAATACTAATACGTTTAGAAATTGTACCTCTCTCTCGACATGCGTATCGAATCATCTTTAATTGGGGAGCTGCACACCCCTACTTATGATACTTATAAAGCTTTGAAAAAAAAAACACCAAAGGAAAATAAGAGAAAATAAAAATCTATTGAACCTAATGTTACCCGAAAGGTAATACTAATGGTTATATTTTATTGTTGCATACAGATTTTATCTGCAGTGATCAAAGGCCACTTCCACATCAAGATCAGGTCAGTCGTGCGTTAAAACACCAGATTTAATATTCTCTTTGTATCCTACCCCTGATGATGCTATCTCTCTTCTGATTGATTAGATTTTCAAGCATGTGGAGCTCCGGCATTCACTTTTTGACGATAAGAACAATGGTTGAAATTGTGCTGACTTTTGTTCCCTTTGTAAATTTTCTGAGTGGTTTGCTGGCTTCTCACGTGCCAAGTGTGTGTTCTCACGTGCCAATGATGATGCTATCTCTCTTCTGATTGATTAGATTTTCAAGCATGTGGAGCTCCGGCATTCACTTTTTGACGATAAGAACAATAGTTGAAATTGTGCTGACTTTTGTTCACTTTGTAAATTTTCTGAGTGGTTTGCTGGCTTCCACATGTACTGCACATTAAGTGTGTCTTCTCACGTGCCATCGCACGCGTTTAGTGTACACGTGTGCTCCCTCAGGTTTTCATGCCCGTTGACATTGCGTCTCTTTTGTCTGTTGCCCTTTTCTTCCTCGAATGGCTGCAGCATAAAAAGCAACGGTTAGCTACTAAACTAGCATGCTGGTTTTGCCCAAGGATTATATCCATTTTCAACATTTTCATCTGCCGTAAATGGTGTGAACAAGAAGGAAACTTAAAGAGGAGCGAGTGACTCATGGGAAACCAGCAAAATGGCACCCCGTGAATAAAAGAAAAGAAAATAAGCATACCTAAAAAAAAAAAAAAAAAAAGTCTCAGGGGTTGTGTCGTCTGGCTTCAGCATCACCCTCTTAGTCCCGCTGAAAAGCACAGACAAACACAGCCATTTTTGCAGTTCTTCCACCATCGTACATGATCTGTAGTTTCCATATTCTTTCCATTCCATTTCTTTAACAAAACACGGGTTCAATACTCCAGCTCTTCAATGTCACCAATTCAAACTAGATCCCAGTATTTTGCCAGATGGTAATTTCTTGCCTGCTCCCATGGTTTATCCTTTGCAGAGAACAAGAAGCAATGTGAAACATTCTCTCCCAGCCTTCCTTGCAGCATGTGATGGGTTGCCCTCGTTCAGATGTGCCACAAAAATTGGCGTACAGTGTGTCCAGTTGCTCCTCCAGTGTGTGTGAAAGAAGCTCCTGATAGTCTTGTGTGGTAATTTTCACAGCAGTCAGCACATCCGCGAGCATGGTGACTCGATAGGTGAGTTGCAGTTTTATCAATTTGCATATTTGTATTTAGGACTCGTCCATCAGCTTCAGCATCGTCGACGACGTTAAAATGTTTGCTTAGCTTGCTGGTGCTTTTGCAGGAGATAATCCATTTGTCTGTGGGATGCGTCGCATGGTTTCTACAAGTTTTTCCAATCGCATCGTATTTTCTTCCATGGACCTCAGTTGTTCTTTCAGCTGATTTAACTTGGAATCGTTCCAGTACCAGCCAATCAAGATACAAAGGAGTATTAAAACAAATCCCAGGGCAAAGCAGAAACCTCGCGCTGGGACGCACGACTTGATTTTGCATTTGGAGGCCTCTTCGTTGCCAGGAGCGTCATACAATACGCTGGCAAAAAGAGAAAAGGGAATTGGAAACATGCCATACAAGAGCACAGCTCGAAAAGACCCTGGAAAGTGAATTTAGACATTTGCTTCTAAATACGTTTGAAAAATTTGAAGACAAAACATATGCAATGTAAGTACATTTGGGAGCACACAGGGATGTCCAAAATTGTTTGCAAGATAATTTGGTTTGAAAATCGCCCGGATATCCTTTTCCAAGCTATCTTTGTTGGTCAAAGACATCTGGCAAACAGGACTGGATTTCTCATTTAAATCGAGTATCTTGTTGGCCATCAAGCCAACAAGCGGGTGGGCAGTGTGAAGAGCTCACCTCATTTCCAAGCTCTCGGCACTTCGACGTTTGGGGTCTCCAGTGCTGAAACGAAGACACCACGGATGAATCAGTAGCAGCAGCATACAAATAGGACCACATTAGCATTCAAATATGTCCACATTCTGTACAGTCATTCCTGTCAGTAACGTGCAGTGAGGTTCATGACTGGTGAGGCAATGACTCCTCTGGAGTCGGACATAAAAATATGAAATCAGAATAGGAGAGCAACCTGTATATGTTCGATTTTGATCTGAAACATTTGTTCTTAAATCTTTTCATTAAGATAAGATAAGATAAGATAAGAAAAGAAAACCTTTCTTTGTCTCACAATGGAGAAATTCCCAATTTACAGCAGCAAAATTATGAAAGGGAAACAGTAGAAGACAAAAAGTATATCAATAAATCTAAATATAATATATACAGTATATATATATATATATATAATAAATATAAATTAAGCTTCAATAAATTGCTCCCTGTTCCAAAATGTGATAAATAGCAAGAAAAAAATAGCAAGAAAAACTACAGACTATTATAAGGTCACATTGCTGTTGATGTATGTTTGTTTATATATATATAGGGAGCCTGAGCACCCACAATTCAAATTCAAAGCACAAGAACTGTGAGGGAGACATGCTAACCACTTGTGCACGATGCATGCATGAATGGATGGATGGATGCAGTAACTTTTTTTTTTGTATCCTGAATACGTGATGCCAGTACATGTGTTCCGTTCCTCCCCAAGCCAAGTTGAGATGTGCACGTGATCTTCGATTGTATTGACTGCAACGTGACAACCATTGTTCACCATTCACAGGTCATATTCTATGTAGCAGGGGTCATTTGTACCATCTTATTATTGGAATATCTTGGGATGATGATGGTGAAACTATTCGACTGAAAAAAAAACCCAACATAATTTGGTACTTGAGTGCTCAGTGTTTGCTGGCCATGTAACAACCATACCCAAATGAAACAAGAATGGAAAAGCCAACAGGTGGGTGGGCAGTGTGAAGAGCTCACCTCATTTCCATGCCCTCAGCACTCGGACGGTTGGGGTCTTCGGCACTGAAACAAAGACGGCACGGATGAGTCGGCAGCAGGAGCAGGACATGAATAGGACCACATTTATATTACAGTATGTTGGAAAATTGGAAAAGTGTGGGTGAGCAGTGTGAAGAGCTCACCTCATTTCCATGCCCTCGGCACTCAGACGCTTGGGGTCTTTGACGCTGAAACGAAGACGGCATGGTTGAGTCGGCAGCATAAACAGCACACGTATAAGACCACATTTACATTCCAATATGTAGGAAGATTGGAAAATTGGAAAAGTGTGTTTGCCCAGTGTGAAGAGATCACCTCATTTCCATGCCCTCAGCACTCAGACGCTTGGGGTCTTCAATGCTGAAACAAAGACGGCGAGGTTGAGTCGGCAGCAGGAGCAGCACATCTACGTTCCAGTATTTTGGAAGCTTGGAAAAGCCAATGAGTGGGTGAGCAGTGTGAAGAGCTCACCTCATTTTAATGCCCTCGGCACTTGGATGGGTGGGGCCTTCGATGCTGAAACGAAGGCGGCACAGATGAGTCGGCAGCAGGAGCAGCACACAAATAAGACCACATATACATTCCAATATATTCCAATATTTTGGAAGTATGGAAAAGCTAACAGGTGGGCAGTGTGAGGAGCTTACCTCATTTCCACGCCCTCAGCACTCGGACGGTTGGGGTCTTCGACACTGAAATGAAGACGACACGGATGAGTCCGCAGCAGGAGCAGCATACAAATAGGACCACATCTACATTCCAATACATTCCAATATTTTGGAAGCTTGGAAAAACTAACAAGTGGGCAGTGTGAGGAGCTCACCTCATTTCCACGCCCTCAGCACTCGGACGGTTGGGGTCTTCAACACTGAAACGAAGACAGCACGGATGAGTCGCACACAAATAGGACCACATATACATTCCAATATTTTGGAAGCTTAGAAAAGCCAACAGGTGGTTGAGCAGTGTGAAGAGCTCACCCCATTTTTATGTCCTCGGCACTCGGACGGGTGGGGTCTTCTACGCTGAAACAAAGACGGCACGGATGAGTTGGCAGCAGGAGCAACACACAAATAAGACCACGTATACATTCCGATGTATTCCAATATTTTGGAAGTTTGGAAAAGCTAACAGGTGGGCAGTGTGAGGAGCTCACCTCATTTCCACGCAATCAGCACTCGGGCGGTTGGGGTCTTCGACGCTGAAACAAAGACGGCATGGATGAGTCGGGAGCAGGAGCAACACACAAATAAGACCACATATACATTCCAATATATCCCAATATTTTGGAAGTTTGGAAAAGCTAACAGGTGGGCAGTGTGAGGAGCTCACCTCATTTCCACGCAATCAGCACTCGGGCGGTTGGGGTCTTCGACACTGAAACAAAGACGGCACGGATGAGTCGGCAGCAGGAGCAGCACACAAATAAGACCATATTGATATTCCATTATGTTGGCAGATTGGAATTGTGTGCGTGGCCAGGGTGAAGAGCTCACCTCATTTCCATGCCCTCGGCACTCAGAGGCTTGGGGTCTTCGACACTGAAACAAACATGGCATGAATGAATCAGTAGCAGCAGTAGCACGCAAATAGTACCACAATTACATTCCATTATCTCAAATACAGGTGGTGTGGAGAAAGATGTCAACAGTAGACTTGGTAAAGCTGCGGGAGTGTTCCAACGCCTCCGCAACATCTGGTCATCGAAAGCCATCACTATGACCACCAAGATACGCCTCTACATGTCACTGGTCATCCCAACAGCGATTTACGCCTGTGAGACATGGATGAAGACAGCCAATATTACCAACAAATTAGATGTCTTCCATTGGCGTTGCCTGAGATCCATCCTGAGGATCTCATGGAGAGACCACATCACCAACGAAGAGGTGATGAGGAGGGCAGGAGTAGCTGAATTGTCAGACATTGTCTCTGAAAGGAGAAGGAAAATGATTGGCCACGTACTCCGACTGCCAAGAGAGAGACCGGCAAGTGTGGCCATGGACTGGATGCCAGAGGGTGGAAAGAGGAAGAGAGGGAGGCCAAAGAAGACGTGGAGACAGACTGCCAAAGAAGACCTCAGTGAGATGGGTGTCAGCTGGCATGGAGCAAGAAGTGACCGGAACAGATGGAGGAGACTCGTCGCCCAATGTTCCAAATAGGAACGGGCGGAACTAACTAACTAACTACTAACTAACTACATTCCATTATGTTGGTAGATTGGAACTGTAGGTTGGAGTACAACAATCACCTGCTAAGAAAGGGCTGAGGGAACCATCTTTATTTATTATTTTCACTATTCGCGGTCCCTGTCCCCCCTGGGTCTACTGTCGGCTATATGGATAGGCCGGCTTCCCAACATGGGCTGAGTATTCCAGCTGAAAATTTGGAAAAGCTAACATGTGGGTGGGCAATGTGAGGAGCTCACCTCATTTCCATGCCCTCGGCACTCGGATGGTTGGGGTCTTCGACACTGAAACGAAAACGGCACGTATGAGTCGGCACCATGAGCACCACACGAACAGGACCACATTTACATTCAAATATGTTGGAAGACTGGCAAATTGTGTGTGGCCAGGGTGAAGAGCTCACCTCATTTCCATGCCTTTGGCACTCAGATGCTTGGGGTCTTTGACTCTGAAACGAACATGGCACGGATGAAACGGCAGCAGTTTTCTTCCAATATGTCCACATTAGATGTAGCGCAATGGCGTTCATCTTGTCTTTTTTAATAAGGAGGCTTGGAGACGGCACCTTCGAGAGGGACGAGGGGGCTTACATGTGCCTACACACCTGGGACACCCTCCTTCAATAGTGGCAGTGGGTTGGAGTGCAGCCTTGGTCGGGGAACCTTATTTTAAAGGTTTCCCGACCACATGAGCTGTTTTTAGACACATCATACAAGGAAGTGGTGAAAGCTCTGACAAAGCTGTTATGACACCCAAAATTATCAGAAAGGTAAGAGAATTCTCTTAATTGGAAAAAAAAATACTGTCTGAAAAAAGGTAACACAGTACAGTACACATAACTATCCCGTCGTAGTTCCCGTGTGCTGAAAGAGATCAGGTGCCCCTTAGGAGACTATCCAATTTCCCCTCAATGGCCCCAAAATTATTTGGTAATTCCAAATGATCAATTCTAGATTTATGATGTAAAAGCCAGAAAATTTAGTTGACAGGGAGAATGACCTCGTTTTTCGCTTTAAACTAATGGCAGGAATAAAACCTTTCTCGTTTCTAGTGAGTATTTCATCTTTCCATGCGAATGGATTTTCATGTTGGGTAAGATAGTGGTACTTTGAGCGTGAAGTCTGTATTTTGGTGCTGCTAAGCGTTTAAAGAGAAGGGTTGATCAACAGCATTCACTAACTCAGAAACAAGTCAATCAGCGATCAAGCCAATCTTTAATACTCACGCCACCGTTCACATGTCCTTATATTATTCTTATTATGCTTCATGATGATGAATTGGGATTTTCTTACGTGTCCTGCGCAGCCTCTGTCGTTGCCGTCGGGGCTGGTGTGTCAGCCACTTCCTTCCCGTCCACTTCCTTCCCATCAACATTTTCTGGCTCTTCGGTCTGACTGTCCATCGTGAGAACAAAAATTAACCAACCAAAAAGAAAGAGACGAAAAAAACGGACCCCAGCTCTCTCACGGCCGCCCCCGAAGGCCGGTGCGCTATGACGTCATTTCTCCAACTCCTTTGTATTGCGTGTCAGCTGTCTTATCAGAGGAACCTCACCAGCACCTGAAAATTGTTGAAATCATGACGTTTGTCGAGGATTCCAATAATTCTATGTGTATTTGAAATGATAACGCGCAAGTGGCCAACACGTTTTGCATTGTGGGAAGCAAAGCAACTTTAACATGCTCGCGGAGTTCTTCTGATGAGGCAGCTGACACTTTTTTTTTTTAAATAATCTTTATTGAACAAGTCAGAATACAATTCTCAGTAAACAGAAAACAAAACGAACATGTTATTAATACATACATAGAGGCAGCTGACACGCAGTGAAAAGGCGTCGGGGAAATGACGTCACGCCACCGAGCTGGGCCTCGTTTATATTATAATTATTATCATTAACGGTTGTTCTCAGTATGGACAATCAGACCGAAGAGACAGAATATGTCGTTGATGGGAACAAAGTGAAGCTCCTTTGGTGTCAGTGTTTTTGAAATAACATGGACAAATCCGAAAAGCACCATGGAATTGTTCACAACAGAATAACATTTCTCATTGATTTAATACAATTTTAAATGTCTTAGTACCTGTCTCGTGTCTCAATGCGTCCTTGCAAACGGCTATTTACATGTAGCCTACCGATAGCAATGAGCCAACATTTAGTACATTTTAACAAATAAATAGATCTCACTGATCTAAACGTATTAGTTGATTATCAGTCGAATGGTTGTGTTCTTCAAAACATGTCAGCATGGTTTCATTGCGTAAGTCATCATTTAGACAAGAGTCTGTTCAATTGTCAAAATTAGTCAGGAACCTAATACCATGAACGCCATATATGAATTCCTTGGAACATTTGATGAATGTCAATGGAATGGAGCTACTACCGGTGTAGTCTCCTTGATTCTACCCGATTGAGGATTTTTTTTTTAAATGCAGTTAACTTGTGGCTCTCAGATTCTTACAATACAGGCTGCATATCATCTTACCGATATGGAGGGAGTGCCCAACTAAACTCACATTCGTTTTTTTCATGCATGCAGGGGACACAATGGTAAAAAGGTGACTCATTTATTCCTATACTGTATTTGTTCTGGATCACACCTAAATTCCACAGAATGACTTGAGTTGCATTCTGTAGTGTGTGCCTTCTATTCCATGTACCTATCCATCCATCCATCCATCCATTTTCTAATCCGCTTATCCTCACAAAGGTCACAGGCGCGCTGGAGCCTATCCCAGCTGTCTTTGGGCAGTAGGCGGGGTACACCCTGAATTGGTTGCCAGCTAATCGCAGGGCACACAAAGACAAACAACCATTCACGCTCATACTCACACCTAGGGACAATTTAGAGTGTTCCATTAATCCGCCATGCATGTTTTTGGAATGTGGGAGGAAACCGGAGTACCTACAGAAAACCTACACACACATGAGGGGGGCCATGCAAACTCCACACCGGAAGGCCGGAGCCGGAATCCAACCCTGCACCTCTCTCTGCACTGTGAGGCCGACGTGCTAACTAACCAACATGCCGCCCTTCCATGTACCATGTAATAAAAATGACTTGCTTTTATCTCGGGTTTGTGTGTGTGTGTGTGTGTGTGTGTGTGTGTGTGTGTGTGTGTGTGTGTGTGTGTGTGTGTTATGTGGAACAAATCCTTGAAATGTTGATTCCCCCCACCCCTAAAAATAATACTGGATGTTCAATTTTGTGAAGGCTCAATGTGGGTTGCGTCTAGGTAACTTTTTAGACATTTATTACATTATACATGTATTCGACTTTTATTAATTGCTATTTTGAAACATACACAAACACATAATGGGGTGTTGAACCTTGGATTCAAAGAGTCCGCATAGCTTAAGAGGGTGGGGATGAACGGAAAAATCGAGCATCATCTCGGTCTGACAGCTCAAAGGGGAGACATGAAGCTTTTATGGGTGTGATTTGGGGAGTTTCATCTTTTTTTTATATGCGCGTAGATAGGTATGTGTGTGTGTGTGTGTGTGTGTGTGTGTGTGTGTGTGTGTGTGTGTGCGCGCGCGCGCTCTCCCCGATGAAGTTTCTAATATCACTAATGTCGTCAATAATTCCTCATTAGTGACTCAGCCACGAAACAGAACACTGCCCTTGAGTCATTGTGTCATTCCACAGTATTTTGTAACTCACACAATGAATGACTGACCTTAAATTACTCTACTTCAAGGTTGGATTGACGCTTGTCATCAAATGCAAGGGTTGGCTTGAGGTGAATTGTCAACCGGTTGATTGTGAGTGCTTTTTTTAAGCAAACTCTTTTATCATTGAAGTAGCTCGTTCCCTTTTGACATTTTAATAGTGCATCCTGATGAAAAGGGTTGCAAAATACACATTCAGAATCGATACCTTCAAAGCGTGGAATGGATTTTTTTTTTTTTTGACAGATGTAAATTGAAAAATTTAATGAAATGCGTTGCTGTGGATACATTCAAAGCAATATTAAGATGCCCTTGACGCCGGAAATATATTTCAAATAAAATCATGAATCCTTTAAGCTTTTCATGCACTTTAACATTTCATGGGGCACTCAGTCTTTCAGCCTGTATAATGCTTCTTAGTTTAATATTTTTTTTTTGGGGGGGGGGGATGTTGAAAGACTGACAACCATGTTCTACTCAGTGGTGCAAATACAGCATTTAACTGGTTTCTAACAACTATATTTCAGTTTTCCTGATTTTTGGGCGCCGCTAAAACATCCAGCATGAGTCTCCTCTCCCACCACTATATAACTAATGAGCGCCTTTGTTCGCCTCACTTATCCAGCACAATTGCAATGTGCACTTAGCTACGCCTAAACCTCAAACATAAATCTTCCACGCTCCACTACAGTGGCTGTTTTAGAGCGGCATTATTTTTCCCCCATCCAATTTGATGTCAGTCCCATAATTTTGCAATCTTATTGAGAGGCTCGGGGTATTTCTTTCAAACAAATGTGCATTACTTTATTTTTAGATACTTTACAAAGAGCAACAGCAATGAGTTGAAGTCACAGCTTGTCGCAGCTTTGTCACTTTGAAGCCTTTGCAAGCACCATTTGGGTGACGAGACTGCTCTGATATTCAAAACCCTTGTTTGCCGACAAAATGTCAAGTAAACCTGTCGGGCCGGCGCGCGCTCTCCCCGATGAAGTTTCTAATATCACTAATGTCGTCAATAATTCCTCATTAGTGACTCAGCCACGAAACAGAACACTGCCCTTGAGTCATTGTGTCATTCCACAGTATTTTGTAACTCACACAATGAATGACTGACCTTAAATTACTCTACTTCAAGGTTGGATTGACGCTTGTCATCAAATGCAAGGGTTGGCTTGAGGTGAATTGTCAACCGGTTGATTGTGAGTGCTTTTTTTAAGCAAACTCTTTTATCATTGAAGTAGCTCGTTCCCTTTTGACATTTTAATAGTGCATCCTGATGAAAAGGGTTGCAAAATACACATTCAGAATCGATACCTTCAAAGCGTGGAATGGATTTTTTTTTTTTTTGACAGATGTAAATTGAAAAATTTAATGAAATGCGTTGCTGTGGATACATTCAAAGCAATATTAAGATGCCCTTGACGCCGGAAATATATTTCAAATAAAATCATGAATCCTTTAAGCTTTTCATGCACTTTAACATTTCATGGGGCACTCAGTCTTTCAGCCTGTATAATGCTTCTTAGTTTAATATTTTTTTTTTGGGGGGGGGGGATGTTGAAAGACTGACAACCATGTTCTACTCAGTGGTGCAAATACAGCATTTAACTGGTTTCTAACAACTATATTTCAGTTTTCCTGATTTTTGGGCGCCGCTAAAACATCCAGCATGAGTCTCCTCTCCCACCACTATATAACTAATGAGCGCCTTTGTTCGCCTCACTTATCCAGCACAATTGCAATGTGCACTTAGCTACGCCTAAACCTCAAACATAAATCTTCCACGCTCCACTACAGTGGCTGTTTTAGAGCGGCATTATTTTTCCCCCATCCAATTTGATGTCAGTCCCATAATTTTGCAATCTTATTGAGAGGCTCGGGGTATTTCTTTCAAACAAATGTGCATTACTTTATTTTTAGATACTTTACAAAGAGCAACAGCAATGAGTTGAAGTCACAGCTTGTCGCAGCTTTGTCACTTTGAAGCCTTTGCAAGCACCATTTGGGTGACGAGACTGCTCTGATATTCAAAACCCTTGTTTGCCGACAAAATGTCAAGTAAACCTGTCGGGCCGGAATGCGTGTGTGTGTGTGTGCTACTGTACAATCACGCATGAAGCTGTCTGGATGTGCCCTTAGTGGAGCATCAAGGCCAAGTGTGAGCAAACGTGTCTGGCCACGACAGGAAAAGAAGCACACTTGTTTGGGACGTAATGGCTTTCAACCGGTTGAACCCACATCTACGTTTTCAAGCAGAGCACACTTTGTTCATGTCACGGCCCTCGCATGCAGACGTCAAATATATCCTTCCGTCCTCCTCCTTTGCACGCTCGTCACTGTTTCCCTGAATTCATCTCACGTTTCAGGTTTATTTTGCTGACTTTAATGGCTGTTTACTCAGCTCTTTAGGAACATGTTTTTGCTCGCCATCAAGTATTTGCGCTAGACTGTGGGAGGTTGTATATAAACAAGCTAGAATTTAGGTCAAGTATTCTCCAGTATACTGAGTATAAAGTTAAAAGTGGGTAAAATATGAAGATGCTGGTAATAATGGCCTTTCACAAGCAAGGGATTTCTGGCATTTGTCTCATAAAAGTCAGCAAGAGCCTCTGGGTCACACATGCTATAGGCGACTTCATCTGCATGCCATCTTGTTGACATTTTGCAAAATTATTGCCCAGAAGAGTTGTAAACTCCTTCTGCAACCTTTGCTTGCCCACAGCAAAGACATGTACAGTACGTCGGAGCAGTGTGACGATGTCAACGTTGTGTAATCTATATGTTGAAATTTGAAGCAGTGTTTGAACAGGTGGGTGGTTCAAACCACACACCTTGTCTGCATATTTGACATCTAAAACAGTGTTTTTCTTACATTCTGACCATACCAATCATAACATTACAGAGCCAGGAATCTTTTTTATAAACATGTACTATTTCACTTTACCAATAAAGCAGCACCACTAGGAAGCATGTAGCAACTATAATACAAGAATTAGAATTAAT